TATTCATATCACCGTATTGGGAATTTCATTGCGAGTCCATTGATACCAAAATTAACGCTGTAGGACAAGTGTGGAGGTGATAACAATCCCAAGAGTAAAAACATTTTGTTGCTGTTGGGCGCTCACGGCGAGTCATCTTCGTAGTTATTTATTTGGTGCTGGTATCCTTATACGTTTCGTTACTTTTTTTACTGATGTTCTTCTAGAGAATTTTATTGCGAACACGTTGGTACCAAAATGAAATACGTAGCTCGAGAACTAAGGTCAGGAGAGTAAAAAGAGTATACACATTTTTGTTTTTACGCTTACGCGGCAAAACGCCGTGAGCACATACCGCTTTTTTTTTTTTACCTTCGCCGTGAGGCTGAAAGTGTTAAGATGCCAGCTAATCAAGATTCCCAGATATTTATTGCATTGAGATTTTGTAATTTTAACATTGGTAATTCTATTCCCGCCAAACACACACCAAAACTACGACGTTGCTACAACGTTCGAACAAGTTTTAACACCTCCTAACCAGTTATAACAATCAATATAGCAAGTTGTAACAACGTTCTACTACGTCATAAACACGTTAAGCCAAGATGTAACAACTTTATTACAAATTGTAACAAGCAGAAAATAGAGATAGTTACGGTTTGTGTTTCCAGGGTTATTACCTAAGCTTAGAGCCCTATATTTTTTAGCATTAAACTGCATCTGCTAGCCTTTTGTCCATTTGAAAAATCTATCTAGATCATCTTGTAGTAATTTTGTCTTCTAAATTTATATCATGCCCTCTTTTAATATCAGATGCAGATTTGTAAATGTTGCTGGACTTCCTATTCAATCTTGAACGTAAATTGCGCGTGCATGCATGCACGCGCAATTTATTTATATATAATATATTATATTATATTAAACAACAGAGCCATGGGAGCCACTAACAACATTTTCCCACTAGAACTAAACTCCATTTATAGTAACTCTGCTTTCTTTTAACTGACCAAACTCTATAGTTGCTACTCCGAGTACTATGTACCAAATACTGATGCTTATTGACAAGGTGGATAAAGGCGGACCATATCAATTGAGAAGGAACAAAAGAGGAGATTCCCAGTGACACAGCATGCTGTTGTCAAGCAACTGTCTCTTGCTTTGTTTTATAATTTGATTTAATTCTCACATTTCTCACTTAGCTGTTAATCTTTCTCGGCACGTACAGCAGACTTCTCTGCGTACGTGCCGGATGAAGAGTAGCTGTACTCTTCATCCTCTTCACATTTATTTCTATTCACACATTTTTGAAGAAAACTGTAGTAAATAAATGCAATAAATTTTTTTTTTTACTTGATATTATTGGTTAGATCTCTCTTTGGTATGCAGTGAGGGTTCTAGAGCCAGTTTACTTTATAGTGTGATACATCATATATTCTGGGAGATCGTTGGTGCATCAAACTCCTAGAAAGGTTAGACTTCTTAATTATCTTAGGCTAGCACCGATTCCCTCCAAATTTCAGTTCACACTAGAGCTTCCGAGTGCTATTGGCATTACAGTATCTTGTTTCTCAGAAAGAAGAAAAAGTGCAAGAGTTGGAGGAATGTCATTTCCATTAGGATAAACAGTAATGAGCATGATCTGTAAATGAGATAAAACTTGGTAATATTGTAAACGTGAGAGTATATTCTTGTGAATTTTCACTAAAACAGCCGTGTGTGTGTATTTGTGTGCAGCATCATTCCTTTTGTACTTTCCTCTTCATACCTGCAGCCTCACTATACAAGCCCGTGTATGGGTCGAGTCCCTTTTAAGTGGGGGGGCAGTATTGGCAGCAGCATACTCCTGATGAACGAGTGGATGAATCTTAATTTTAGTCTTTGGCTATGTGCTATATTAATGATTTGAGCTTCACTGACATTGTTTTGACTGGATTTTATTGCACAGTCTGTGGGTATTGGTCTCTGCCCCCAGCCTGTAGGGTATTGGTCTTCCCCCCCCCCCCCCCAGACTGTAGGGTATTGGTCTCCCTCCCCAGCTTGTGGGTATGGATTAATTGTAAAACAAATCATGATTGACACGATGTGTGAAAGTACACATGAACAAAATATATTGTGTATACTGTACCTGTATAGATGTGTGTATATAAGGGAGTGTTCACTTTTAATCGAGATATATTACATGGTATTATATCGCCCTATCTATTTACATTTCAGTGTATGCCTATTTTTCATCATACTGGTGTAATGATTGGTTGTCAGCAAAATGGTACTGCAGTTATGAAAACTTAGACCAGTGTTATTTATTCATTTTCATAGTTGTTATAAATGCTTATCAGATGTATGTACTAGTATGCCTCATTATATAATGTACATTCGTGAGCCACGGCTTCTTTACCCGCCTGGAGAAAGAGACGTCAAGGTCGTAGAACGACCAGGTGAACGAACACTAGCCTGTTCAGTAGTCTGATGAGGCGTCAAGATCTTAGAGGCTCACTCGCTCGCAGATTCAGAGCGAGTGAGTGAACCCAACATCAAGAAGTATTATCAGACTAGTAAACAGGCCAACGTCTGTTTACCTGGTTATTCTTCAACCTTGACTTTTCTTTCTTCAGGAGGGTAAAGACACTATTGCATGGGACTGTACTTACCATCAGTGTACACATATGGTTTGGGTGTTGAACCAGGTGAACCAGTACTATAATAATATAGCCGAGTGTTTCATTTTCTCAGTGAAAGAAAATTTAGGTATATTTTGATCTTGATGCTGCAAGAAGGAACATGCAAAGCCATAATGAAAATTAAATGTTTTCTTAGTAACAATGTTACTCAATCTATTGAAGTGGTGTTACAAATTAACTTGTGGGGGGTTAGGCTTTCCATGGTTTGCATCCTGTTAACAAAACAAAAAAAGTTCAATTCACAAGTCAACTTTTTTTTATTTTTGTACTGTGGGTCTACGTGTGTGTTTATCTCCATCCTTACATATATAATACATTGATATTGACTGGCAAGGAAGGGAGCAGTCGTTCATATTGCTCAATTTTTTTATTTTTTATTTTTTTTTTCAATTTCTTTTTTGTAGTATGATTGATATGAGAGTTGTGGCCAGTGTGTGATTAAGAATGGTCTGTGATAATTACAGTACTAGCAAAATTGGGAGGTGATACAGAATTTTAGCAACTTTTAATCCCACTTAAATGCCTCTTTAATTATACTAGTAATATTCTATGTGATATGTATATTGTGCTACAAATTATTCTACTTGAAAAAATATTTTTTTCTTTGATAATATATCTTTCATATGTTTTAAGACTCCTAAATGTGAGAATAAAATTGAGTGGCAAGTTGTACTTCTTAAAGGTTTTGGGCTTTGTGAGGTCACTTGACTTAAAAAAAATAAAAATAAAAAATAAAAATGCTGATAACCAATGAATGGACACAAGAAATTTGTAGAGTTTTACTATTGTGGCAGATTTGTTTAATAGTTAGACTATCACAGTTCATTATTCAAATGAAACTCTGTCACTCTAATTTGAGATGTTTTATTCACTTGGTATTTGGTAGAATGCCAGTTTAAAAATATGTTTTAATCACAAACTTGGAAGAAAAAAATGTGTACAGCTTTCATGAAGGTAAAATATTTCTTTTTAATGTGGAAATAAACTCAGTGTTGGTAATGGTAATGGGTTGGTAATGTGCTTGGGTAACATTACCCAGGTTAGGGCTGGCTGTTGCCGCTTTATGATGGTACTGCCGAGGTGTTCTCACGGGCCTTAGTACAGTTGGCTTCATTCTCAACTTTAAATCGAGGATACCGGGTTTGATTCCCGAACGAGACAGAAATGGTTGGGCACATTTCCTTTCCCCCGATGCCTCTGTTCACCTTGCAGTAATAGGTACCTGGGAGTTAACTTGGGTTGCATCCCGAGGAAGGTCAGTAGTTAGACTTTAGGCTTGTATCTAGATCCCCCCAAAGTGTTTGTGTATGTACACACAAGCGTCGTGCCCCTGGCAACGGGAATTACGTGATGGGTCTCGAGCATCCTGGTGGAGTCTAGATGTTGCAACTCATTATTTTAATAATAGGGTCAGCTTGAAGTGCACTAATTGAAGACTGAAACAAATCAAATGCCATGGAAAGTTGTGTTAATCCATTTAAAATTTATATGAGTACCTCAATGTTAATTAGAACTACCAGCTTGGTTCTGAATAACCTGATTTATTGACCACAATGTTGCTTTTGTAAAAGTTATTTATTATTTGTATTTTGTAATCAAAGTTGATATGTGATTAATATACTTACTTTATATAAATTTTGATGTGGATAATGACAAGTGTGTGTAGTAAAGATGTGGCTGGTGGATATCCTTGGTACTCGTCATCATCCATAAATGTACTATTTAATGTTGAATTGAATGCAAAAATATGGAAATAACAAATTGAGTGAAGAAAGAGTGAGCACAAGTGTAATTGTTAGAATTTCTGAGGCTAGCCAAATGTAGCCAGTTATAATGTTATATATCCTGTAAGTGCAGTTCTAGAAGTTAGGCCTTAAAAATGTTGTGAATAAAGCCAATTTAGCTCATGTTGTATTAGAATTGTTAAAATTATGTTGTAGCAAACATCACCCAGAGTTTACTTGGTAAAGTATTGTTGGTTATCACTGTGTACATAAACTGTACATACGTTGGTGTATATAATGTAAATTATTTCAAATCAAATCGAGGGATGTATGGTTATTTAACTATCATTACTATTATAATGTTATAGATCCAAAAGTGGTTACTTTTCATACAATAAATAAGAGAATAATTTTCAAGATTTAATTCTTTCCAGATGTTTAATTTGAAAGAAATGTATGTGTAACTTTTTTCTTGGAGAGTGATGCACGATTAAGTTCACAAACCCAGGCTGTCGAGCTCTCACGATACGAGACCAAATGTTTATGTAATCGTCAAGTTACATAATATGTTTGAGGTAGATGCGTTTTGATAGAACACTAGCTGAAGGAAAGGTTCATCTTAAGAAATTAGTTTATTATATACACTTAACCTGCACATTTTCAAAGTACTGGTAGAATTAACAAGCACTGCGATCAAGACGTTCTGTCCCACAAGCTCCACCACCGACCACACAACACCTGTGCAGGAAGAAGCAGGGTACATTGCTTATGGAATACTGTAGTGACAAATTATAAAATTTAACACTGATCAGCGAGGCTATTAAGAGAAGCTGGCCTTGGGTAAGGGTGAGAAAGTACACTCATCATATATGTCCAAGCCCACTGCAAACTGATTCTGCCTTCCCCAAATCTGTTACTTTTTACATCAACACATTATATTTAATAATCATGTCCAGCATTTTAATGGCCAAGTTCATCTCTTATTAACTCTGGCTGTGACAGTTGACAAATGTCAGTCATAACAATTGGTTTGGTTGACAGTGGTTCTATATATAATGTCTTCAGAACAAAGGGCCCAAGTTAATTACATGCAGTAGTCATTCCTCCTGTTTATGAAATGAATTGTACCCTACTCCCAGCTGATGACATTTAAGCACTTCTTGAAATGATTCACATTTCAGATATCTAACTATGTAGTGATTCTGTTTAGAGAATGTGTGTAAAGATTTAAATAATGTCTTGATCATGTGAACTGGGTTATTTCATCTTTAATATTCTCAAGGTTATAGTGTACATGAGCATTTCTGAACCATCGTGCAGCAGCACACTAGTGTGCCCTTGGTAGTTTAAGGAAAGGTTAAAAATAAGAGGAATAATAAGAAATATGAACATTAATTTTTCAAACCAAACTTTTGAAATCCATGATCAACATTTTGAAAAATAACTATTTAATAGTTCAATTCTAATCATAATCTTGATAACCATTTTTATATAACATCTCTTCATAAAAAATTATAGTGTCTTAATTTCAGCACCTTGTTCAGTGTCGTGCGAGTTGAAAAAGGTTGGAAATCTCTGCCTTGCATCGCAAAGTGAATGAAAAGCACACTCATAATCGAAATACAACTTTATGTACATTAAACAATGAAATAGATAAACATAGCATACAAAAACTTAACTGCGGTGATGGTATTGAGTTCTTAACACTGGACTTTTCTACAGCTTTTGCCTCTTGTGTGTGTGGGAGTCTTGGTGGTCTAATCTGACCCCAATGGAAACCTGCCTCAACCAATCACAAACAAGGCCCAAATCCAATATCTAAAGCCTGGGCAAGCATGACATGCCAGCACACAAGATGAGCCAGGAGATGTCTGCACCCAACTCCTGAAGGAAGGGAGCAAGCAACATGAGCAAAGCCTGGAACTGTAGGTAATAAGGCCACAACATAGCCAAGCATCCAGGTGGTCCTGGAGCTGGTCAGAGAATTACTGGATCATAGCTCACATACACAGAGATACCAAGTGAACACGAGTCTTGGAATCCAAAAAGCATAGGACACTGCACGTGAAGCTTCCTCATGCCCACAACATGGGACAGGACAAGAGCAAGCAGGTAAGACTCCAATGGCACAAAATTAGCATTGGCCAAGAACACCTGAGAAACAGCTCCCCATTTACTCTTGAGTGCATTTAGCAAAAGCCATGCAAAGTCCCCAAGGAACATAGTGGTGTCTGCATGCAAAGAAGAATCGGTAACTTTGTAGCACACCTGAATGGGGAGGGAGGGGGGGGGGAGGAAAGAGGGATCTATCACAGAAGCGAAGACCTGATCCCACAAGAGGAACCAAAATGAGTATGAGTTGAAGAAAATGGGAAGGCTGATATCTTCTAAAATAAGATGTATCAAAGGATTCCAATAGTATTTGGAAGCAAAACTGGAGAGAAACAGCTGAGGAATGATGCTCATGTGTGTATAGAGGATAGGATAAACCTCCCACCCGAGATGAAAAAACTTCTTGCAGAGGGAAGCATAGACCAGGATAGGCTGTACAGCACCAAGAGAGTCATCTCGGGCTCCTCCCCAGCCTGAGAGGTCCTAAATAAATACCCGCAGAGCAGAGCCTACTTCCACACCTGATGCATCATCCGACAAGAAGGCATTTCCACACTAAAAGAATCCAAGCTAAAATACACTTCCCAGAGAAACAGACGACTAGCTCTCTGCACCTCTGTGAGGATGCCAGGATTTGGCCTCTAGTCTATGATAGGCTATTAAAGGCTTTGCAAAGGCTGATGTGACTTAAAGGACTTATTTGCCATTGAGCCTCTCCAGATAAACAAGCAGCATGATTGCCTATTCATACTAACCCCACACTGATTACCTTGCTATTTATATTACAAACAAATCTATCTTGAATATATGCAGACTACCTCTTATTTCTGTCTTGTATTCAGAAAGTATTTTATATGAAAATTAGATATGGTTGAATCATTGAAATTTAAGGTGAAATATAATGTTTAGGACGAGGTGTTAACGTGCAAGAAGCAAGCAAGCAGACACTCACAAGAGGCTGAGGAACTCACCTTGAGAACGAAGGTGAAGAGAGCCAGCAAGATGTGGCCCACCATCACAAATGCTATGAAACTTGTCACTGTTGTTGCTCCCTGTTGGAAAGTATGGAACATCAAATATTTTCTAATACATTCTTGTGGAGGAAGTGTTTTCACTTACACAAAATAATACATTAAAGTGAGCATAAGGAGGTAGGAAATTCAGTACATATGCAGTAGTGACAATGATGATAATAGGAGATGGAGCTATGTACTACCACTGACCTGTGGATACAATGAAAACATTCCTTCCCAACATTTGAAACAAATTTTAAAATATTACAATGCTGAAGTTAGGCAAAAAAGGACAAAATATACTGTATTTGAACTCCAGTTTATCCTGAATTGGTGTGTATTGATGGAGGAAGCTATTAATGTGTGCCAAAATAATCTAATGAATAAAAATTGCCATCAACATCAATGAAGCTAGAGAAAAACAATATGCAAATAAATATGAAGATAAATATTGGAAAAAATCTTGACGGAAAAAAGGTTAATATAAAAAGCTGGGCTGTAATGTTAGCACTTGAGTTGATCAACACTACACTACACACACATGGTCTCAAGGTACTAACAAAACCTAAGGTATGCAAGGCACACTTGTGTGATACACATGACTGGGTTGATCAACACTACACAACACACACATGGTCTCAAGGTACTAACAAAACCTAAGGTATGCAAGGCACACTTGTGTGATACACATGACTGGGTTGATCAACACTACACTACACACACATGGTCTCAAGGTACTAACAAAACCTAAGGTATGCAAGGCACACTTGTGTGATACACATGACTGGTTAGTATTCAATTTTGAGAGAGACTAGTTGGTTAAAATGTAATACAGGGTATGTAATGTTATATATCATTATATCAATCTTGCCAATAAGTGTTCAACATTAATGGGTTATGGACAACATGATAATTTAGGTAAAATATTTCCCAAGTACAGTACAATATTATACTAAAGAAATAAAAGTGTAAAGATTTCAAAATATTACATTTCTTTTGAATGCTTTACTGCATTGTGCTTCAAAACAAAATAGCATTTACCAAGACTAAATAAGTTATTTGCAATCTTCAAATATACTATACCTGAGGGAGAGGTGTGGGTGGTCTGACTGTTAACAGGACGAATATGGCATTCTCCACCCCGGTCCAGTAGTCACGGCCCCCCACCACGTGCACCCCAGCGCTCAGCACATACCTGACACACAGGTGTACTGTATAAACACACAGGTATACTGTATAAACACACAGGTGTACTGTATAAACACACAGGTATACTGTATAAACACACAGGTAACACTGTATAAACACACAGGTAACACTGTATAAACATCAGAGGTCCGTGGTTGTTCAACGTCCTCCCAGCGAGCATAAGAAATATTGCTGGTACAACTGTGGACATCTTCAAGAGGAAACTAGATTGTTTCCTCTAAGGAGTGCCGGACCAACTGGGCTGTGGTGGGTATGTGGACCTGCGGGCCGCTCCAAGCAACAGCCTGGTGGACCAAACTCTCACAAGTCAAGCCTGGCCTCGGGCCGGGCTTGGGGAGTAGAAGAACTCCCAGGACCCCATCAACCAGGTATCAACACATTCAATTGCCAATAGAAATAATGATAAATGTACAAGTAATGAACTAAAATCAATGCTTGAAGCGGCCCGCAGCCCTACATATCTATTACAACCTAGTTGGTCCAGGAACTCCTGCAGGAACCTGTCTAATTGTCTTTTGAACACCTCCACTTGTGTGCCAGCAATATTTGGTATACAGTATATATTTTTGATTGGAGGAGGTCTATGAGCTGTGGAACAGTGTTCTCATTGTTTTTATGGGATCTCTACTGTACGCTTTACTGGTCTATTTAGCATGTCTTACCATATCTTTTGCTCCAGTAGGTTATTTGGTTGTGCATATTGGGGACCCGACCTTCCAACATCTTTCATGTACATATGTGATCCCTCTCTCGTTCCCTTCCCAGGGTCCAACCACTTGGGCTGAACAGTAGAACGATGGTCTCGCTTCATGCAGGTCAGTGTTCAATCCCCCAACTGTCCAAGTGGTTGGGCACCATTCCTTCCCCGGCCCATCCCATCTCAAATCCTTATTCTGACCCCTTCCCAGTCCTATACAGTATAGCCGTAATGGTTTGGCGCTTTCACTTTTCCCTGACAATTCCCTTCCCTATCCAGAGCATACATCTTGAGTGATTTGAGATAATTTAGATACAGTACTTTACAAAGTCCATGCATGCTGTATATGTTCCCCCATTTTCTCTTCATTTTTGGAAATCACTCTTACCCTAAAAAGGGAAGCGAGTACTGAGCAATGTTTGAAAAGCAGGAGCACTATGAACCCTGGATTTGAAGGTTCTCATAATCCACCCTTTCATTTTCCCAGCTGGTGATATGTATCCTTTGTTATGTTTGGTGAGTGTTAGGTCATCTGACATTATTCGTAGATCCTTCACATGTCATGTACCTTCCATGAGGGGATCTGATTGAGTTTTGTATCCTGTATTCTATTTAAATTTTTGTTGTATAAATTCTATTTAAGTATTGTACTGTATATTGAAACAAAGAAGTTCATTCCCAAAATTCCCTTATTCAGGCATGCTCCCTCTCTCCTGTATACCAGCCTTCTGTCCTTCTCTCTTTGTTTAATTATATTTGAACTATGCATGCAAAGACCAGTACAGTGTTCCTAGGTGCCGAGTTGTATTTTGTGTTCTGAACAAATCCACAAGAGCCGTGACGAAGATTCGAACCTGCGTCCAAGAGATGCTCTTGGACGCAGGTTCGAATCCTCTTCACGGCCCTTGTGGATTTGTTCATTTGATGCATCACGTTATTGTGATTTGTGTGTAATTTTGTGTTCTATTTTCTCATGTTTCTTACTTGGGCTTTAAATCAAATCCCGAGGTGAAGATAAGGTTTAATCTGGCTGGTCTGTTCTCTCCTTGTTGGCATGTCCTCTTTAATGTGTGTTAAGAAGTTCACTCTTGTGGTGTCTGTTTTATATTACTTTCTATGTATCAGGGCCTAAATATTAATTTCTTGCCTCCCACTATTTCCCATGACTAAAATCTCTCATATATTAACAGTTTTCAACATTGTGGGTTTTAGTTTTTCTAAACTATTTTCAACCTGTATATGTGTATACAGTATTGTATAACACCTCACACACATAATGTGTATGTATAAAGTGCCAGAGTGATATTCTGAGTATTCTGTGCAGGAAAAGCCATGACTTCCTTGAGGAGAATATTTTAATACTAACATTAGCCACGCGAGGCAGTGCTCCTATACTGACATAATCAAAGCAACTTGCATACCTACCATAATGAAAACTTCTTAAAATAAGGGGTTATCTTGAGATGGTTATCTTGAGATGATTTTGGGGCTTTAGTGTCCCTGCAGCCCGGTCCTCGACCAGGCCTCCACCCCCAGGAAGCAGCCCGTGACAGCTAATTAACACCCAGGTACCTATTTTACTGCTAGGTAACAGGGGAATAGGGTGAAAGAAACTCTGCCCATTGTTTCTCGCCGGCGCCGGGGATCGAACCTGGGACCACAGGATCACAAGACCAGCGTGCTGTCCACTCAGCTGACTGGCTCCACCGGGGTTCCCTAAACTTGGCCGCAGAAGCGTAGAACAAGGGTAAGAGAGCAAGTGACTTACACCATAATGACTGTAGTGAGGAGGACGAGTCTGACTGGTGTCGTCTGGGGAGGGGGTGCAGGTTCCTGGGGCGGTCCCCCCATGCTGTGGTACGGAGATGCTCGCAGCTTCCCTCCTGATGAGGAGATCTGAGGTGAGAGGACAGTCTGTCAAACTGATGGCTCATTCTTCCATGCACAGTAAAATAACAAGTTTTCCCACAGTTAATAATTAATGATTCATTTAATAGATAACAATTTATCATTTGATACTTTAAGCTGGAATTTCACACGGGTATTCCATAGTTGTATATTAACATTTTGGGTGGAAGACATTTGTTATGCAGGTTTTACCTATTATCCTCACCTAATGTAAACAAACATTTAAAATATATTGGTTTAATTTGTGAAATCAATAAACATGGCCAGTAACGCAGGAGTCACATTTGGATTATCAGATCACCTGTAGAAGGGTGCTCAACAGAGTTGATCAACATCAACAAGATGTTGATCAACATCAACACAGGGCTGGACTGTGTTGATGGGTTAGATCAGCGAGACTGTTGTGTGTGGGGAGGATGTCAGCACCCACGGGTGGTTAAACTGTACAAATCGGTGGTCTTTCCTGATGGAAACGGGTAAGCACCACTGGGGACAAAGTACAGTACTTTGTCAATGCTATCTTGCTCTCATTCCCTTTTGGCTGCCATGATAGGTGGTACCCCGAAGCCCTGGGTACCTACCCCATAATTATAAATTCTTATGAATGTTTCACTTAACGTTTCTCCTTCTGGGACTGGAATGTTGAGTGATCAGTCACCAGTTGGGCCCCTCTGGAAGAACTGTTGTTCCCTTATGCAGGATGGAAGGAAAATGGAGTCTCTTACAAGGCTTGACTGCAATGTCTCAAGCTATCAAGCTATCTTGTATCACCCCTTGTATGTATGTACTTTACCTGAATAAACATTTGAATTTGAATCAACTTACTTAACACCCAGTTACCAGCAAGCTTGTTTACCAATATTAGTTGAACTCTAGCAATAGTTGTCAGTTCTAGATCATATCCGTTTTTCACAAGATCGTGAACAAAACTCTCGACGAGGTTTTCTTCCCCACAAAGTGTCTTTGTAGTGTAAGACCAGGACACTTATTACAGTTACTGACAATACAACCATGCGAGCTAGGTAAACTGGAAGACTGATAAATGTTGTGATGTAGAAATGAATACGAATGATTACATTAAAAAGAAAAAGCTAAATATGAAACAATATCTCTCTGAGCCCACACTTGCCGGGGCAGTAAATTATACCAATTTTACAACAACAATAAAATAGTGACCACTTTACTGCACAATTAACTTCCCCTCGAGGCAAAATTTAAAAAAAAATCCAGGACAACAATCAAACGTAAATTAAGTTAGTGATTAATCAACCGGGTTATTTACTTATATCTAGTTAAGAGACATTGCCTGCTGAATAGAAGATAAAAGGCATTACATAGAAGACATTACATTAGAAGACATTACATAGACATTACTGTACACAGAGGCGAAAAACTGCATTAAATAACCTTATTCTTTGTACACATGTTGACGAGGAGAGCGTAGGTCGCGCCGAGCCTGGCTGCCCACACGACCACAACCCCCACATACAGGACCACGCCCACCAGAGTGTAGACGAGAGCCGAGGCCCTCCCCGCCGGCGAGTGGGCCTGCACGCTGGTGCCGATGGTGGTGACCAGGCAGAAGACGTGAAGGAGGGAGGGCCACAGGCTCCAGGGGAGCAGGGGCGGCGGCTCCTCACTCTCCCACACCTCCGCCCGCTCTTCAGACCCAACCTGTAATGCAGGCGACGAGTCACAATAATGTGGCTGAAGTAGTTTGACCAGACCACACTCAAACCCTACCTGGGTTCGAGTCCGGGTAGGACGACTGGGCACAGATGCACTCTGAGCACGGAGAAGTAGCTGGGGGACCTGGATGTAAATAGATTAGCAGATGATGATGTGGGGAAAGATGGAGAGGGTGTGAGAAGGTGTTGACATTACAGGTGGGTTTGACCAGACCACACACTAGAAGATGAAGGGACGACGACGTTTCGGTCCGCCCTGAACCGACCAAGAATCGACTTGAGAATGGTCTAGGACGGACCGAAACGTCGTCGTCCCTTCATCTTCTAGTGTGTGGTCTGGTCAAACCCACCTGTAATGTCAACACCTTCTCACACCCTCTCCATCTTTCCCCACATCATCATCTGCTAATCTATTTACATCCAGGTCCCCCAGCTACTTCTCCGTGCTCAGAGTGCATCTGTGCCCAGTCGTCCTGCCTGGACTCGAACCCAGGTAGGGTTCTCTCACGAGGGAAAACGAGTGTAATAACCCAACCCGTCCTCGACTCAAGTCCATTACATTCAGCGGTCGACCCCACAGACGCATTCATAAATTTTAACATGCTGTTCATTCAAAACGGGAATTTTCGCAAGTATAAATTAATATTATAATATATTAGCATATTGTGTATATATAGGTATAGGATAGGTTAGGTTAGGTGTTTAGGTTCTGTTGGCGATTATTTGTATTTGTAGTACGTGGGTGAAGCATTTATAGCGTTGTGATTCGAACAAAATTCGTCAGTGAAGCACTTGTTCCAGATATGTTCGAACGTCAGCAGTTGAGTCGTGTGTAAACCGCTTTTCATTCATAAACAGGGGGTTTGGCGGGTGCATGGAATCACTTTTGGGTCTTTGTTTGGAGGACGGGCTGAATAACCACTATACCACTAAGCATGAACAAAGCACATAATTGTGACCAATTAATGATCCAAGTGCAGTTTTTCATGACCTGCGGCCAAGCCAGAGCATAACTGTTACCAATAAATAAATAATAAATAAATAAATAAATAAATAAATAAATGATCAAATCAAGTAACAAAAAACTGACCAAAAGATAGAAAGAAGCATGATGCCTCGGGACATGACGGCCACACAGCTCAGCGGTCAGTTAAATCAGTAAATAATTGTCAAAAGATGGCGCAAAGCGGAGCTGCCACGGAAAAATCGCCACCTCGGCGAAATCGTCATTTTTCGCAAAACTCAAAATCAAAACCAGCCATAGAATCGTTTTCAAAATGGTACCATTAGAATTACCGCACCTCTGGACGTTTCTTTCTGTTAACTCTTTCTTTGCTAATTTCCAATATTAAGCCTTTTACACATATATTTACCGAGATACAGCCAATTCAAATATCAAACATATCATCATGTTTTCTCAACATATTATTAAGAAAAATGAGTTGATGAGCAAGTAATAATAATTATAATGAGCCTAATAATAAATGGATATTAAAAAATTATGAATTTATTTCTTTATCATTTATGTAGACACTTTTTTATATCTTCAAGCCTATAACAGCCTACAATCACTGTGTAGAAAATTTCTCTGTCTACAATGTCATCAGGATGTTGGATATCCACTAGAGTGAGTCCTGCCTGAATCAGGATGTTCAATATCCACTGAAGAAAGTCCTGACAGAATCAAAATGTTGGATATCCACTGGATAGAATTCTGGTTGAATTAGGATATTCGATATCCACTGGAGAGAGTCCGGCCTGAATCAGGATGTTGAATATCACTGTAGAAAGTCCTGGTTGAATCAGGATGTTGGATATCCACTGGAGAGAGTCCTGCCTCAATCAGGATGTTGAATCTCCACTGGAGAGTCCCGCCTAAATCAGGATGTTCGATGTCCACTAGAGAGATTCCTGCCTGAATCAGAATGTTGGCTATCCACTGGAGAGAATCTTGGTTGAATCAGGATATTCGATATCCACTGGAGAAAGTCCTGCCTGAATCAGGATGGTGGATATCCACTGGAGAGAGTCCTGGTCGAATCAGGATATTCGATACCCACTGGAGAAAGTCCTGCCAGAATCAGGATGTAGGATATCCACTAGAGAGAGTCCTGGTTGAATCAGTATGTTTAATGTCCACTGGAGAGATTCCTGCCTGAATCAGAATGTTGGATATCCACTGGAGAGAATCCTGGTTGAATAAGGATGTTGGATGTCCAGTGGAGAGAGTCCTGCCAGAATCATGATGTTTAATGTCCACTGGACAAAGTCCTGCCTGAAACAGGATGTAGGATATCCACTAGAGAGAGTCCTGCCTGGATCAAGATGCTAGATGTCCACTATGAGGAATAGGCTGTTATAGGCTTGAAGATATAAAAAAGTATCTACATAAATGACGAAGAAAGAAATTCATAATTTTTTAATATCCATTTATTATTAGGTTCATTATAATTATTATTACATGCTCATCAACTCATTTTGCTTAATAATATGTTGATAAAACATGATGATATGTTTGATATTTGAACTGGCTGTATCTCGGTAAATATATGTGTAAAAGGCTTAATATTGGAAATTAGCAAAGAAAGAGTTAACAGAAAGAAACGTCCAGAGGTGCGGTAATTCTAATGGTAGCATTTTGAAAACGATTCTATGGCTGGTTTTGATTTTGAGTTTTGCGAAAAATGACGATTTCGCCGAGGTGGCGATTTTTCCGTGGCAGCTCCGCTTTGCGCCATCTTTTGACAATTATTTACTGATTTAACTGACCGCTGAGCTGTGTGGCCGTCATGTCCCGAGGCATCATGCTTGTTTCTATCTTTTGGTCAGTTTTTTATTACTTGATTTAATCATTGACTATTTTCTGTTTTTATAGGAAATTAGGTAATTAAAAATCAAAAGAAAACAAAAGGTTTTTGCCGAAAAATGACCGGCTAGCTGTGTGATGCATCATACTGAACCGCTATATATATATATTTATTTAAACAAGAGTTATTCACTCAATTATTCCTTGTTTATGAGCATTCTTTTGGATATCCTTGATCCTGACGACAATGAAAGCATATCTGAGAGCTGTTGATATCCTGCACTCTGAATATTGTAGAAGGCATCGCATCTATGGATATCTGCTTTCCTTTGATATAATTCTGGTATGTTGTGCCTCAGTGGGACTCCTATTTACTTGTTACAGCCGCCGGATTCCTCCGCGGGTATTTTACATCCTCATTATAATGTAGGATGTCTATCATCCTGAGATATCCAATATGATTAAAATAATTAGGGCAAATTCCTCATAGTGGACATCTGGCATCATGATCCAGGCAGGAATCTCTCTAGTGGACATGCAACATCCTTATTCAGGCAGGACTCTCTCCACTGGACATCCAACATCCTGATTCAGGCAGGACTCTCTCCAGTGAACATTAAACATCCTGATTCTGGCAGGACTCTTTAATTCCAGTGGAGATTCAGCATCCTGATTGAGGCAGAACTCTCTCCAGTTGATATCCAACATCCATATTCAACCAGGACTCTCTCTCCAGTGGATATCCAACATCCTGATTCTGGCAGGACTCTCTTCAGTGGACATCCAACATCCTGTTTCAGGCAGAACTCTCTTTAGTGGACGTCCAACAACCTGATTCAGGCAGGACTCTCTCCAGTGGATATCGAATATCCAGATTCAACCAGGACTCTCTCCAGTGGATATCCAACATCCCGATTCTGTCAGGACTCTCTTTTGAATATCCAACATCCTGGTTGAAGCAGGATTCACTCTAGTGGATATCCAACATCCTGATGACATTGTAGACAGAGAAATTTTCTACACAGTGATTGTAGGCTGTTATAGGCTTGAAGATATAAAAAAGTATCTACATAAATGACAAAGAAAGAAATTCATAATTTTTTAATATCCATTTATTATTAGGCTCATTATAATTATTATTACTTGCTCATCAACTCATTTTGCTTAATAATATGTTGATAAAACATGATGATATGTTTGATATTTGAATTGGCTGTATCTCGGTAAATATATGTGTAAAAGGCTTAATTTTGAAAATTAGCAAAGAAAGAGTTAACAGAAAGAAACGTCCAGAGGTGCGGTAATTCTAATGGTAGCATTTTGAAAACGATTCTATGGCTGGTTTTGATTTTGAGTTTTGCGAAAAATGACGATTTCGCCGAGGTGGCGATTTTTCCGTGGCAGCTCCGCTTTGCGCCACTAAATGGTGTTGTTAATAATGAACTAAAAAAAGTCCACTTATGGATGTCAACCAACAAACTAACACTTAACATAGAAAAGACCTACTACATCCTATTTGGAAGCAAATCTACAAATGCAATTCAGCTTCAGATTGACAATGTAAACATTAGCAATAAAAATGATGGAAAGTTTCTTGGCATATTCCTAGACAAGAGACTCAACTTCAGTACCTACATACAACACATAACTAAGAAAGTCTCTAAAACAGTTGGTATTCTCTCCAAAATCAGATATTATGTTCCTAACTCTGCTCTCATCTCTCTATATTATGCACTAATCTATCCCTATCTCAACTATGGTATCTGTGCATGGGGTTCAACCACTGCAAACCACCTCAAGTCCATCATCACCCAGCAAAAATCTGCTATCAGAATAATATCAAATTCTGCTTTCAGACAACACACAGCCCCCTTGTTTAACTCCCTAAACATGCTAAACATAATCTCACTCCACAAATTCTCTTGTGTCAACTACATTTACAAAACCCTGTTCTTAAATGCAAATCCTTGTCTGAAACTCTTCTTGGACAGATGTAATAGGACCCATTATCACCACACCAGAAATAAATATCTCTTTGATATCCCCAGAGTTAAACTTAATCTGTGTAAACACTCTATGCAAATAAAGGGACCCAGTTTATGGAACTCACTCCCTACTGAATTGAAAAGCTGTCCAACTTTTACATCATTCAAAATCAATACTAAAAAGTACCTAATTTCATCTTCATAGTTTTTCACTTTTTGCCTTAAAATTGCACTGTATGAATTGCTACCCAATCTCCCAACCTTTATGTTCCCAATTTGAACTTCTTTACCATTGTGATCATTACTGTTTTCTTATATGTGCTGCCAATCTGTTGTATGGTGTTTATAAATCTTGTTTATCTGTATCTTTTGCTACCCAGTCTCCCAATCTTTATGTACCCAATCTGAACATCTTTACCATTGTGATCATTGCTGTCTTATATGTGCTGTCAATCTGCTGTATGGTGTCTATTAACCTTGTTTAAATTACTAATCAAGCTGTCAATGTAATTAATCAGAGCTTTAATATAACAATGTGCTTTAATATACCTACTTATCTCTCTCATCTCATTTTTCTCTTGTAATGTATCTTTATCACTTATTAATTCTGATTGAAATTACCTACTTAAAATTATCTGCTAGATTAAGGACCTGCCCGAAACGCTGCGCGTACTAGTGGCTTTACAAGAATGTAAATACTGTACTATCCAATGTATTCTCACAAACCCAATGTACCTTCTTGTATATATATAAATAAATAAATAAATAAGAAATATACTTAGTTATATCGTATAAATTAATTATATATCTTTCATATAACCTGACATAGTCACTACTCAATTGCAGCATTTTTGTAAAGTGTTCAAATTAACATTTGCAATTAGGAAATTTATTTTAGGGTAATATTTTAAACAAGATATAAATTTATATTATTCAAATTTAGGGCAACATATCACCAGAGACAACCTGGCTCACAATACCTGGGACCCGTGGGCGTGACCCACCTGGGACCCGTGGGCGTGACCCACCTGGGACCCGTGGGCGTGACCCACCTGGGACCCGTGGGCGTGACGGGTGACTTACCTAGGACCCGTGGGCGTGACGGGTGACTTACCTGGGACCCGTGGGCGTGACGGGTGACCCACCTGGGACCCGTGGGCGTGACGGGTGACTTACCTAGGACCCGTGGGCGTGACGGGTGACTTACCTGGGACCCGTGGTCGTGACGGGTGACTTACCTAGGACCCGTGGGCGTGACGGGTGACTTACCTGGAAGCCGTGGGTGTGACGGGTGACTTACCTGGAAGCCGTGGGTGTGACGGGTGACCCACCTGGAAGCCGTGGGTGTGACGGGTGACTTACCTAGGACCCGTGGGCGTGACGGGTGACTTACCTGGGACCCGTGGGCGTGACGGGTGACCCACCTGGGACCCGTGGGCGTGACGGGTGACTTACCTAGGACCCGTGGGCGTGACGGGTGACTTACCTGGGACCCGTGGTCGTGACGGGTGACTTACCTAGGACCCGTGGGCGTGACGGGTGACTTACCTGGAAGCCGTGGGTGTGACGGGTGACCCACCTGGAAGCCGTGGGTGTGACGGGTGACTTACCTGGGACCCGTGGGCGTGACGGGTGACCCACCTGGAAGCCGTGGGCGTGACGGGTGACTTACCTGGAAGCCGTGGGCGTGACGGGTGACTTACCTGGGACCCGTGGGCGTGACGGGTGACCAACCTGGGACCCGAGGGCGTGACGGGTGACCCACCTGGGACCCGTGGGCGTGACGGGTGACCCACCTGGAAGCCGTGGGCGTGACGGGTGACCCACCTGGGACCCGTGGGCGTGACGGGTGACTTACCTGGGACCCGTGGGCGTGACGGGTGACCCACCTGGGACCCGTGGGCGTGACGGGTGACCCACCTGGAAGCCGTGGGCGTGACGGGTGACCCACCTGGGACCCGTGGGCGTGACGGGTGACCCACCTGGAAGCCGTGGGCGTGACGGGTGACTTACCTGGAAGCCGTGGGCGTGACGGGTGACCAAGGTGTAGTACCGAGCAGTAATGTCGTGAAGCTGCTGTTGCCACTCCGTCATCACTGAACGACTGAGCATGTTGAGCTCTCTGTCTGTGGGCAGCCGCCACCCTCCCTCCTTCTGTCGGGGACACCACACTTACCACCATGTCTTAATTATTGTCTTAATCTTTGTCTTAATCTTAATTATTATCTTAATCTTTGTCTTAATCTTAATTATTATCTTAATCTTTGTCTTAATCTTAATTATTATCTTAATCTTAATCTTTGTCTTAATCATTGTCATAATCTTAATCCTTGTCTTAACATACACAAAAGACTGCAGCTGCATCTTCACTAACACAGTAATTACTGACACAAAGTATATCATTATCATATATCAAAGGTCATTTATCATACGTCCCAGGAACAGGTAGTTACAGACACACATAATGGGTTATCTTGAGGTTATCTTGAGATGATTTCGGGGCTTTAGTGTCCCCGCGGCCCGGTCCTCGACCAGGCCTCCACCCCCAGGAAGCAGCCCGTGACAGCTGACTAACACCCAGGTACCTATTTACTGCTAGGTAACAGGGGCATTCAGGGTGAAAGAAACTTTGCCCATTTGTTTCTGCCTCGTGCGGGAATCGAACCCGCGCCACAGAATTACGAGTCCTGCGCGCTATCCACCAGGCTACGAGGCCCCCTCAACTGAACTTTTGTATCGATTCATTTGGCTGTTCTATCGACACGAACTGATAACTTCACGGATATATACAGGCGATGAGTCACAATAACGTGGCTGAAGAATGTTGACCAGACCACACACTAGAAAGTGAAGGGACGACGACTTTTCGGTCCGTCCTGGACCATTCTCAAGTCTCACAATCGACTTGAGAATGGTCCAGGACGGACCGAAATGTCGTCGTCCCTTCACCTTCTAGTATGTGGTCTGGTCAACAGATATACTTTCAACCTTGCAGTCTCCGTGGTGTAGTGGTAAGACACTCGCCTGGCGTTCCGCGAGCGCTATGTCAGGGGTTCGTATCCTGGCCGGGGAGGATTTACTGGGCGCAATTCCTTAACTGTAGCCTCTGTTTAACGCAACAGTAAAATGTGTACTTGGTTGTAACAACGATTCTTCGCGGCAGGGGATCGTATTCCAGGGACCATAGGATTAAGGACCTGCCCGAAACGCTACGCGTACTAGTGGCTCTACAAGAATGTAACAACTCTTGTATATATCTCAAAAAAAAAAAAAACTTGCAAGTTGGGCTGACAACGATGATATAAACTGACATGCAAGGTGGAGGTTATCTTGAGATGATTTCGGGGCTTAGCATCCCCGCGGCCCGGTTCTCAACCAGGCCTCCTTTTTGTTACACACCCCCAGGAAGCAGCCGGTAGCAGCTGTCTAACTCCCAGGTACCTATTTACTGCTAGATGAACGAGGCATTAGGGTGGAAGAAACTGTCCATTTGCTTCCGCCTCCACCGGGGGATGGAACCCGGAACCTTAGGACTATGAATCCCGAGCGGTGTTCACTCAGCCGTCAGGCCCTCTGACTACCTACCCAGCTGACCAGGATAGAGGACTAACCTGTAAAGTAAAGAGCGCGCCCCGCAGTCTGGGCGAGGTGGAGATGGCGGCGATGAAGAGCTCTGGGCTCCTGTAGAGGACGATGTTGAGGGAAGAGTTGAGGAGGCGCTCTACTACCTCGAGGCGGGCGGCGGCCATGTCCGGGTCCTTCGGGGTCCCTGGTAGAGTGACTGTGGTCCGGCTCACTAACACGGCCGACCCTCTCAGCCCATCAGGCCCCTCCACCTGTAACACCTACGCTCTTAACACCGGTAAACACGCCATGCTATCAACATCACACTACAAGACTATAACACATTCTTAACCGGCATATCGCAACCCATTCTCGCACTTGCTTACAGTCAATATTGGCTTATTTAATAAGTGCATATGTGACATACTAATTAATTGTAAATATTTTAGTTTACCTTGAAAAGCTTCATAAAAAACACCGACCCGATAATTGTAATTAAGAAGCAATAAGATGTTTATCTTAACACACTAAGAAGGTTAAGTGAGGTCGGTGTTTTCTATGAAGCTTTTCAAGGTAAACTAAAATATTCACAATCAATTAGTAAATCACATATGCACTTATTAAATAAGTCAATATTGACTGTAAGCAAGTGCGAGAACGGGTTGCATATCGATACCCGACCTGCTGGAAACAAAGCCAGCCAAGTAGGACGGGGTCTTTTTGGATAAGCTGATGGAGACGCAAGTAACCGGAGAGCTGCCCTAGAAGAGGGAAGGTTCTGGAGGCGGGAAAACGGGACGCCAGCGGCCATGTTTATGGACAAATGATAAACGTGCGGGTGCCCAATCGTTGATCTCTATGGGGGTTTAGTGGCAATGTAATATTTACCGCTCGTCTGGAATTGAATCTGAAGCATCATCAGAAAGCAAAGCGGTTCAAGTCATACAAGAAAACTTTTCAGGGTCAATCTTCAACCGCGAGGAGAAATAGGCAGGTATGGCGCCACAAGTGATCCCTGCCACCTGTCAAGGGCCTTCAGGTGCCTCCTGGCATCTGTGAGAGGAACGTGATCTATGTGGAGAAGACACGACCCGACCACCGGTGATGACTGGTGGAACAGAGGGTCGTCATGTGGAAGAGCAGCTAAGTAACAACCCAGACACGAGTCTCGTGATGAAGTCAGTGGACATTTACTGACATGAGTCAGGCGGAGGAGAGTTACAGCTTATTAATCTTGGATTAGGTTTTTGTTCTTATTGGATGGCAACAAAGTCAAAGGCCGCGGGTGTGGCAGTTGGAAGAGTGGCAGGTAGCAGGCAGGTGGCAGGGTGGGTGGCAGACGAGGCCGCCCACCTAGTGGCTGCCAAGCAGTGTGTGTTCAGGTCTAGTCTTCCATGGTCGATAGCCCTCCTCCCCCTCCTCCCGTCTACCCCAGTAAGCATAACCTATCTCTCTCTCTCTGCACGCGATATTCTCCTATGCACGCGATGTGCTCCCGCGCGCGCGCGCGCGATGCCCCACAGCCATATTGGAACACCTTACTTACACTTAGAAGTATATAAGACAACTTTATACTTAACAGCTTCACAGAGAACTCTTAACTTATTAGCAAAAATACAACACTGTTTAACAAACTATTGAATTCGTGATATAAATCACCTTTTAGAGTCCATTTTTACTCATAAGAGCAACGCTACTCATTTTAAAACTTTAGGTTATGTTTGCGATTATTTGTATTTCTAGTAATTGGGTGAAGGATTGTGGTTCACCACAACAGCGTTGTGGTTCGAATAATATTCGTCAGTGAAGCATTTGTTCCGGAAGTGTTCGAACGTCATCAGTTGTGAGTCGTGTGCAAACCGTTTTCCATTCATAAACAGGGGGTTGCCGGGTGATGGAATGGACTTTGGGGCCTTTGTTTGGAGGACGAGCTGGGCAACAAAGGCAAAGTGATGTGGTGGAGGCTGACTCCATACACAGTTTCAAATGTAGATATGATAAAGTCCAGTAGGCTCAGAAATCTGTACATCAGTTGATTGATGGTTGAGAGGCGGGACCAAAGAGCCAGAGCTCGACCCCCGCAAGCACAACTAGGCGAGTACCAAACCAGCTGCTTATGAGTGAAAGACCGTTGTTTACACATGAATCACAGCTGATGACGTTCGAACGTTTTTCGAAAAGTGCTTCGCTGACGACCTCTGTTCGAATCGCAACTCTGTAAATGCTTCACCCACGTACTTCAAATTCAAATAATTGGCAACAGAACCTAATTATCTAGGTTCTATTGACTACTAACCTACGCCAAATTATACTTGAAATTAGTATACAAATTAATATTGCTATGTCTTAGAGAAAACCCCAATGTTATATATATACAGTACGTTAAAATCAACGAAAAGAGTAATTCGCATCAGAATTACTTGTTAGCGTGTGTTATGTCAGTGCAAGTTAGGGTAGGAAAGGCTAAAATAGTATCCCTCTTAAAAAAATAGAAGAGGTATGCCTGGCTGGAATGATGTCGTTAGGGAATACCAAAATAGATCGAACATTGGGCACAACCGAGAGAAAGATGCCTGAGGATGCCTCAGAGATGGTTGGCTATCAGAGATCAGACGCAGCATCAGCAGTAGGGCTCAATATCAAGCATTAAAGGCGATTGAGAAAGATAATATCGTAAGAACAAAGGCTGCCAATAACTTTTCAAGCAATAGTTTTTCAATTTCGCCCCAAAATTCATATCTAAGTTTACCCAAAAGAAATACAAAATAAAGATATACGCGAAATATCCCACATTGAAGTTGTAAGTGAATGAATGAAAATAATTCACGACACAGCGGAACACACACAACCCAACTGCTCTTAAAGCACAAAAAAGGGACCTTAAAATCCTGCATCACTCAAAACTTCGCAGCGATATAGGAAAATGTAACACTCCACATACTATAGAACTCCCGAAGTTTACAAACACACCAAACACAAAATCAGAGAAATAGATATATAACAATGACCAGACTGAGACACCAAACTAGCAACACACGGCTATAAATATTGGACAGATAATACAAATTGCATTCACTGTCAAATTCCAGAAAAAAATAAGCCAGATCCACATCTGTCAACCACAGAGAACGTTGTCAACCACAGAGAACGTTGTCCATCACAGAGAACGTTGTCAACCACAGAGAACGTTGTCCATCACAGAGAACGTTGTCCATCACAGAGAACGTTGTCAACCACAGAGAACGTTGTCCATCACAGAGAACGTTGTCCACCACAGAGAACGTTGTCAACCACAGAGAACGTTGACCACCACAGAGAACGTTGTCCACCACAGAGAACGTGTCCACCACAGAGAACGTTGTCCACCACAGAGAACGTGTCCACCACAGAGAACGTGTCCACCACAGAGAACGTGTCCACCACAGAAAACGTCAACCTTTAACAAGAGAAACAAGCGTGTTGACCAGACCACACACTAGAAGTTGAAGGGACGACGACGTTTCGGTCCGTCCTGGACCATTCTCAAGTCGATTGTGACAAGAGAAACAAGCGACCAGCCGCCGCCATCAACACGCCATGACGCCAAGCGAGAGATCATTCTCCAAGTCACACAACACTGAGGTTGTGTGACTTGGAGAATCATATGTAAAGCAGTCTAGAGGCGAGTATGGACTGACCTTTGAGAAGATGAAGGCCCCGAGGACCAGGTAGCCGACGAGGACGGCCAGGAGAAGAAGATGGAGCGGGAGGAGGATGAGAGAGGCGGGCGAGGCGGCCCTGATGGCCGGGCAGCAGCAGCAACAAGGAGTTTTCCCCGACATATTGGGCTTGACGGGGTCAGGCGGCGGGGCTGGAAGCACGGGGCGCCACAGTGGGCGGCCGTGGGCGGCGGGGTGGCGTTGGCGCGGCAGGGTGCCACCCGCCACGTACTTGTGGCTCTTTTCTGAGTGGCGGGAGTGGCGCCGCCTCTGATGGGACTTATGGTGTCCCTCCGGCTCCGCTCCCCGCGCCACTGACGCCAGACTGGTGACGCTCCTGCTGTACTTGTGAGCCCTGCCGCCAGGGTCGGTGGCGGCGGCCAGCTCGGCGGCGCTCACGGCGGCACTGACGCTGCCCGCCGCCACCCGCCCGCCATCAGCCTGTGACGTCACTGTCAGCGGCGCGCGCCCGGGCAGCGGGAAGGTCTGGCGGGCCCGCGACCTTCTTTTGCTATCCAGGTAACTCGCGCTCACTTTCACGATTTTGGCGCTATTTCTGGCCCCTCCGCGCCCCCCTGCCACCGACGCCACCCCCCCGCAGGCCAGGGACGCCGCCAGGGACGACGCCGACCGCCGGAGGACGCGGTGTCCGCCTGTTATTACCACCACCGGCGCCCCCGACGCCTTCAACACCTGTGGTGCTGTTGCTGCCTCCTCCAGGCGTTCCTGTTGGCGCTCTGGCAAGCGTTCCTGTTGGCGCTCTGGCAACCGTTCCTGTTGGCGCTCTGGCAAGCGTTCCTGTTGGCGCTCTGGCAAGCGTTCCTGTTGGCGCTCTGGCAACCGTTCCTGTTGGCGCTCTGGCAAGCGTTCCTGTTGGCGCTCTGGCAACCGTTCCTGTTGGCGCTCTGGCAAGCGTTCCTGTTGGCGCTCTGGCAACCGTTCCTGTTGGCGCTCTGGCAACCGTTCCTGTTGGCGCTCTGGCAACCGTTCCTGTTGGCGCTCATGCGAGCGTTCCTGTTGACGCTCATGCGAGCGTTCCTGTTGACGCTCATGCGGGCGTTCCTGTTGGCGCTCGTGCGGCCGTTCCTGTTGACGCTCTGGCAAGCGTTCCTGCTGACGCTCATGCGAGCGTTCCTGTTGACGCTCATGCGGGCGTTCCTGTTGGCGCTCGTGCGGCCGTTCCTGTTGGCGCTCGTGCGGCCGTTCCTGTTGACGGTCCTTTTGATGCTCATACTGAAGGTCGGGTTCACGCTCCCGCTGATGATCCCGTTCACGTTCGAGCTGACGATCCTTACGGTGCTCGGGATGACGTTCATGCTGAAGCTCTTGTTGACGGTCGTGTGGATGGTCCTGTAGCCGTTCGTGCTGGCGATCCTTGAGGCGTTCGTGTTGACGATCCTGTTGAGGTTCATGTTGACGACGTTCGTGTTGACGATCCTGTTGAGGTTCATGTTGACGACGTTCGTGTTGACGGTCAATCCGCTTGTCCGATTGACGGTCAGCAATAAGCTTGAGTTGACGGGTGTTCATGGTGTTCTGCACGATCCACGCTCCTGCAAGATAACATGTCAATAATTAATCGGCAACATTCACGGAGATTTTCCTAACAGGTCAATGGTGAGTGCCATTCCTCCTCCGGCCTAACCCTATTCCCCTTTAGATCCCATTTAGATGAGTCCTTTCCTCCCCCCCCCTCCATAGGAGGTCCCTGGTGAACCATTTTGGTAACTTTTAAAGTTGGAGATGGGAGATACCATAGCCAATCACCGGACGTGATGGGGTTACTGGCCAATGAAAGAATTAGCAGTGGTGACGTCGCTAGAGCATTGACGACGCCACCGTCAATATATATATATATAAGGCCAGCATTCCTTTTTCTTTAACTTTGCACCACAATTCTCTCATACAAACACTCATCCGTCTCCTATGAACTTACGAGCCACTTGCAAGCAAAACTTGGAGCAAAAACAAATTACAATTACAGAATACAAAAACTGAGCTCTCAGCTGCATATACAACACTCACTGGCAGGACGACACCACACGCTTAAGTTTCCATGACAGAACCAACATTCCAGCCATCAACACCTACTGGAAAACACTAACAAATTGACATTATTAACACCATATCAATTTCCTTACTAATACACAGCCTCAATAACCCTTAATATACCAACTGACGTATCTGGAGTGGCACTCCAAGGATCGAGGACCAACATATGACGGTAAAGCCAAACCGTCAAGATTGACGGTTTGGCAGACTTTCGAGAATATCAGAGAAGTAACTTTCCAGAGTATCAGATAAGTCCAGATATCATGCTCCAGATAAGAAGTAACTGATCTACGAAGGACGTAGCACTTCCTACTTTTCTAGCGGACGTTGCCGTCCTCAGGTGCTGCTGGCCATGGGTTCACAGGAAGCTGTACCAGAGGGTTGGGGCTAGTCTCAGCACTGAGGTCCGCCTTCCTCTCAGTATTACACCCTGCAAACCCACTATTGTCAGCAAGGTATCTTTGCGTGTGTCAACATTGGCATCATGCAATAAGAGTATTTGGCCCCAGTACATAGCTGGATACGGTACACAGGGTGACGACACTGAATAATGTAATGTCAGAATTACGGTCTATTGAACTACTCGCTTAATGATTTTATAGATGATTAACTGTTATTGTATATTATTGATAAACTAAGGCGATTCGACACGTTGGAGTTCAATACAAAAGTGCGGTGAATTACAGTGACACCGACTAATAATAATAGAAAACAATGGAAATCTAATAAGAAAAATTAAAAGTAAATATACAGTCTACGGGCCTGGCACTCCACAGTTAACTACCTCGCCTCTCAGTCTTGGCACCGTCAGCTGTGTGAAGGCGGATGCGAAGGATTAAGAACCTATGGTAAACTGGAACGCCAAGATTCATCAAGAACTTGCCCAACCACTTACGAAACCTGTCTCCATCGTTTTTCAATCATGGGGGCTTTGTTTATATTTATGCCCGAAACGCTTTGCGTAATAGTGGCTTTAGGCATTGTATGTACTAGCTATACCTATAAGTCAAACAATCCTTGTAAATATTGTATGTATGTATGTACCTTACCTAAATAAAATTGTATTGTATAAAATTGTATTGTATTGTGTATTGTATTAAACAGTTTAAGAACTTCGAAATTTCACAACCCAAGGTTATTGATTTAAACTGCTTCGTTGTGCCCAGGAGTTCGAAATGTTTAATATAAACAAAGATGTAGGGACACGGGCTTCCCTGATTCATCACCTGGGGCCAGATTCACGAAGCAGTTACGCAAGTACTTACGAACGTGTACATCTTTCCTGAATCTTTGACGGCTTTGGTTACATTTATTAAACAGTTTACAAGCATGAAAACTTGCCAATCAACTGTCGTTATTGTTATAAACAGCCTCCTAGGGTTTCGGAGCTCATTAACCGTTTAATAATTGTAAACAAAGCCGCCAAAGATTGAGAAAAGATGTTCAGGTTCGTAACTGCTTTGTGAATCTGGCGCCTGGAGGGCAAGTTACCACAGACTTAGGGTCACACCATACAGGGGCAGGTTGTACGGTATCATTGGCCACAGACTGGTCGCATTAGTACCCTATGGAAGTCCCAGGCTATGGGGCTGCTTCAATATTAGCGTTTGAGATAACACGCTGACCCACACCCACATAGTCGACGGAGAAGGGGTCACAAGTTCGGAGCCCCACAAGTGCGAAAACGGGTTGCTTGCTTATAGTCAATATTGGCTTATTTAATAAGTGCATATGTGACATACTAATTGATTGTGAATATTTTAGTTTACCTTGAAAAGCTTCATAGAAAACACCGACCTCACCTAACCTTCCTAGTATGTTAAGATAAGCATCTTATTGCTTCCTAATTACAATTATTACTTAACCTATACCGTTGATATGTTAAGTAATAATTGTAAATAAGAAGCAATAAGATGCTTATCTTAACATACTAAGAAGGTTAGGTGAGGTCGGTGTTTTCTATGAAGCTTTTCAAGGTAAACTAAAATATTCACAATCAATTAGTATGTCACATATGCACTGATTAAATAAGCCAATATTGACTGAAAGCAAGTGCAAGAACGGATAGGAGTCTCCACACGTGTAATATATCAAGCGGTGTGAGCCGCCTCGCGCATGTTAGTATTTTTAGCGACTCCCTAAATGTTAATTGCCTTGTTGTGGTAATGAGCCACCAGACCAGTTGTATCACGCTACGCTCCAGCTGTGTGACATGATATAACATAAACCCACAGTAACGTAATTATTAGGAGAAAACCCTAAGCCAGTAAGACTATTTGGCACTTGGAAGGAGCCGGGATACGATGACAAGGAGCTGGGATAAGAGGACAAGGAGCTGGGATAAGAGGACAAGGAGCTGGGATACGATGACAAGGAACTGGGATATGAGGACAAGGAGCTGGAATACGAGGACAAGGAGCTGGGATACGAGGACAAGGAGCTGGGATACGAGGACAAGGAGCTGGGATACGATGACAAGGAGCTGGGATTCGATGACAAGGAACTGAGATATGAGGACAAGGAGCTGGAATACGAGGACAAGGAGCTGGGATACGAGGACAAGGAGCTGGGATACGAGGACAAGGAGCTGGGATACGATGACAAGGAGCTGGGATATGAGGACAAGGAGCTGGGATATGAGGACAAGGAGCTGGGATACGATGACAAGGAGCTGGGATACGAGGACGGAGTGAAGGATAGGTGACCAACCAATTGGTTGGTCTCCGTGGTGCAGTGGTAAGACACTCGCCTGGCGTTCCGCGAGCGCTTTGTCATGGGTTCGTATCCTGGCCGGGGAGGATTTACTGGGCGCAAATCCTTAACTGTAGCCTCTGTTTAACTCAACAGTAAAATGTGTACTTGGTTGTAACAAGGATTCTTCGCGGCGGGGATCGTATTCCAGGGACCTGCCCGAAATGCTACGCGTACTAGTGGCTCTACAAGAATGTAACAACTCTTGTATATATATATATATATATATATATATATATATATATATATATATATATATATATATACGTGTTCCCAGTCTTAAGACATCCCGAGTATCCACATCTCATTCGCTCGAGACTGTGATAAACACAATATTCAAGAGGATCATTTTCTGACAAGAAAGTTATCTGCTTTAAAATGTATATAAAATTATGTTCAGTAATTGCTAGATAAAACAAATGGTTATAAAGGAGTAAATCTGTTCTGAATGTATTACAAACATGTATTTTATTTTCCTTTGTTAAACCTGAACCGTTTAGCTATACATGTTATTTGCCCACTGCCCCCACAGCTGCTTCCAACAGCTGCCTCCCCACACGTGTCCCTACAGGTGTGGGAGCAGTGTTGTGGCAAGCCTGCGCACCTTCCCGTGTTCTACTATGACCCCTTCACCTTAAGGGACTCAATACACTTGCTGCATATTCTATGACTTGCCTCACATACCGCTATGAAGGTCACGAGTCTTCAAGGTCACTCCTGTTTGAGTCCAACCACTTGGGCTGGACGGTAGAGCGACGGTCTCGCTTCATGCAGGTCGGCGTTCAATCCCCCGAGACCGTCCACAAGTGGTTAGGCACCATTCCTTCCCTCCCGTCCCATCCCTAATCCTTATCCTGACCCCTTCCCAGTGCTATATAGTAGTAATGGCTTGGCGCTTTCCTTCTGATAGTTCCCTTCCCTTCGTGTAAGTTTGATTGACGTCTGATGAATCCCTACTGATACTTGGAGACAAATGGTATCAAAGTGATGCAGATTAAGCTACCTAAGAGGTGGCATGGGCATGAATAACCCGTGCAAATGGCTTCAGTCTTCCTCCTTTCTTATATACTGGCATTATATTAGCCGTTTTCCGTCTCTCGGGTAATTCTCCCCTTTAAAGTTGTCTCCACACAGTCGGGGACAGGAAGCCTGTTAACTTTATCGAGGTCCTCCAAACCATGTCAAATAATCTTGCTAAACTGTTGGCTTAGTTCTCGACTCATAATCGGTAACCAGGGTTCGATTCCCGGTTGGTACAGAAATGGTTGGATCAGTTTCCTTTCACCTAATGTCCCTGTTCACCTAGTAATAAGCAGGTAACCGGGAGTTTGGTAGCTTATGGGGTTGCATTTAAAATATAACAGCTGCTAACACCCAGATTCCTATTTACTGTTAGGTGAACAGACGCATCGGGTGAAAGGAAACGCTGCCCAAACGTTTCTGACTTACCTATAGAGAAGTGAACCAGGGACCTCTTGATCGAGACCCATGTACCTCCGTACAAAAACAGACGTTTCGTGTTTATGACTTAAAAGATTCAAGATCCTGCGCCGCTAATTAAATAATAATAATAATAATAATAATAATAATAATAATAATAATAATAATAATAATAATAATAAAAATAATAAAAATAAATATTATTATCAGTGTGCACCATACTTGCTCACTCCACTTTATTTATATATTTATATATATACAAGAAGGTACATAGGGATTGTGAGGATACATAGCATAGTAATTACATTCT